CCCCCCAGCGTACTGTATCAGTATAATGACCACATCTTCTACCGAAAGTATATTTGTACGCATTAGCTCCAAGCATAAACATGATGCTAGTTATCTTTCTGCATGGGCTGCTCCTTTTTTTTTTTTAAATATCTGTCATCATTGTCTCTCCTCCTTCTTTTCTTAGTATTTGTATGTTATTTTTCAGTAGCAACTTAAATCTTTTACTCGTAATATATTATGACATGTTTATGCTACACCGACATGTTCATGTAACAAGTGCAGTCGAACGCTCACTGAGGGTGGTTGATGGGTGCGCTGGTGTGGTTTGCTCCTTCTTTGTTATCAGACATCTATCGTCCTTCACTCCCATCCTTCTTTTTTGTGTGTTATTCCCTTGCACTCTGAAATTCGGCACTTATATGACCTAATTGTGTTGCAAGTGCCATAAAGCTCTTTTTAAAACTGAAAAGTATATTTTCAGCTCATATTGTATGAAATATTTATGTTGCCGATTCCATAAAACTTACTAAAGCTAAAAACTAAATCTTCAGCACATGCTATTATAGAATGTAATATTAATGTTGTAGCTTCCATAAAACTTACTAAAGCTATAAACTAAATCTTCAGCACATATTATTATCTCTCTCTTGCCTTTTTTAACTCCCAGTGGAGCACAGGCCATCAACAACATTACTCCAGCGAAGCCTGTCCTGTGCATCCTTTTCTATCTGTTTCCATGATGTCCCCGCTTTTTCAATTTCCGCTTGTACCGCTCGCCTCCATGTCATCTTTGGTCTTCCCACATACTCTTATAGAATGTAATATTTATGTTGCAGGTGCCATAAAACTTACTAAAACTTAACGTGTGAAATATTGAAATGCGAATAATCAACATACGATGTTAAGTAGAAGTGGAAAAACCTGTAGCAAAAATAATGAATGGTAGAAGTAACTTTATACCAATTAATTTAGATACATTACAGCATTCTCAAATGCTCAGAGAGATAGTAAAAATAATTGGTTGGTTTGAAAAGGTAATTGACAGTGCTGGTTATAAGGGAATGTCAATAATTTATGCAGGGTCGTTTTTCTGTTGCCTTATATATATATATA